CTTAGCGACGTTCTTCTGGGACAATAAGAATATAATGCCCCTTTAATCGTAGTTCAGTACCATTCATACAATGAAGAACTATATCAAGGCCCTTAATCAGGATTTAGGTATGAAGTTAGTGTGCATAATAGCACATTCATCCAAACAACTAACACCCCCACATTTATACCTAATGATGGGTTTAACTGAACTTGGTCACATGTATAGAAGAAATATGATTCAATCAATACCATTATTCAGAACTAAAAACGAACACTAAACTAAAAATCTAGAAACATAAGAAATTATTCACAAAGTAAACCAAAATTAACTAGGGGGTTCGTCTAACATGCATTTTTATGTTAAATTTCTGCTATTTCAAATGTGTTTAGGTAGAGCAAAATTAGTCTCACACATTGATTACTGGAATGGTACTCCACAACAATATTAATAGGGGCACATGCAAGTGTGTGACCAATGATCTCTTCTATCAAAATTGTAACATCACACATCGCCCAGAGGAGTAGATCCTCTAAGCCTTAAATGTATATTCCCATCTCTACCTAGCACAAGGCCTTTTGGGAGCTCATTGGCTTCGGGTTCCATCGGAACTCCGAAGTTAAGCGAGTTCGCCCAAGAGCAATCCTCGGATGGGTGACCCACTGGAAAGTTCTCTTGTGAGTTCCTATAAACAAAACCGTGAGGGCGTGGTTGGGGCCCAAAGCGGACAATATCGTGCTACGGTGGAGTCAAGCTCGAGATGTGTTGGGGGCCTGGGTCGGGATGTGTTGGGGGCCCGGGTCGGGATGTGACAATTTGGTATTAGAGCCAATCCTTGCCGGAAGTGTGCCAACCAGGATGTCGGGCCCCTAAGGGGGGTGGATTGTAACATCCCACATCGCCCAGGGGAGTGGATCCTCTAAGCCTTATATGTATATTCCCATCTCTACCTAGCATGATGCCTTTTGGGAACTAACTGGCTTCGGGTTCCATCGAAACTCCGAAGTTAAGCGAGTTCGTGCGAGAGCAATCCCAAGATGGGTGGCCCATTGGGAAGTTCTCGTGTGAGTTCCCAGAAACAAAACCGTGAGGGCATGGTCGGTGCCTAAAGCGAACAATATCGTGTTACGGCGGAGTCGAGCCCGGGATGTGGTGGGGGCCCGGGCGGGGATGTGAAAAAAACGGAAATAGGTTCTACAGGGACGAAGTTCGGGATATTGTCCCTTATTCTTGAAATTTTGGGTCTTAGATGCCAATTAAGCTTCTGTCCTTGATATGTTATGATTCTACCACTGTTTGTGGCTTGGGTTCCTTACCATGTTGCAGCCCTATTCAAAATTAAATAAGTTAGACTTCGTGAGACACTTAGCATTTGCTTCGAGCAAAAGGAATGATTCGAGCCAGTATAAGCACGATTGATGATATATCATTAGATGAATTGTTGTTCTTTTCAGTGAGCAACATGATAGTAATCAGATCCAAGAATTTGGTAAAATTCCGCTGTCAGCGCTACTACTTCGAAAGCAAGTTAGAGAATGGAAGGACAAGGAAAACATTCTCCCGTCAAAATTCAATCGAATTCTATAAACATTAGAATTATACCTATTCATGGACACAAATGTTTTAATCATGTTTTGTTTAAGGCAAGGTACTTTTGTTTGTTCGAGCATAAGTCTTCAAGTGAAGATCATGATGGTGGCTTATTCAGCTCTTCCATACCATTATTGGCTTCAATGGATTCTCAGCTTAGTCATAGTCAAGTGGAGTTTCACGTCTTATATTCGCATAAAGTAGTTTCCGCAAATGGAGGGAACAAGATTGTGGTTGGAGCTATGGGAAATAAAACCTCTATAAGCATTCAGGTTCCAAGACATGTTTGGTTATTAATCATGGAGAACTCCTGGTCCTCTACATGAGTGCTAAGTGTTATGAAACTTCAAGCTTCTATGGCACCTTATTTGAAACTTCAGGTTTGAGTTGAAAGTATAAACTTCATGTTCACAATACTTACAAGCAAACACATATATATAAAGCCAGTGAAAACAAATATAATGATAGTGTGTAGCTTCGGGACATTCTTTGCTTGAAAGTATAGGGAAAGACCCTAAAAAATATGTGGAGCATTAGGTCTAAAAATAAATTATTATTTTATTCGCCTGGACTACGGGCTAGTCAGTGAAAATAAGTGGGTTGACAGAACCCCATGCCCATGTATCATGCTAATAATGAAAATGTGAAAACCAAATCCGGCTAAATTGGGTCATCTGGGTTAAGTAATTAGTGCCATCAAGAAAAATAAATAGACAAAGCCCAACTCAAATTGGATTGGCGGTCTGATTTCACGCCCAAAAAAATATTAGGGTTGATGGCCCAATATTTCTTGTTTCTGCTCTAGACTAAACGTTCAATTTGGAGAAAATGGGGCTAAAATCCCAGAGATTAGAAAGGTAAAGCCTGGCGAGCTGCAAGGGAGAAAAAAAACCCAGATCCAGATGCATAGAGGCGTTGAGGGCGGCCTTCTCAGGCTGGGTTAGCAAGCCGGAATTTCCAGACGGAAAAATTCAACGGCGACATTGTGTGTGGTCGTGGTTTGCAACTTCAGATGCAGACATGGTGATCTAGTCCACTGTTGTTGAAGACGATAGCAGTAGTACAATATAATTGCGAACAATAATTTGTGTACAATATATAATTTGGTAATAAAAAGTTAGGGGGTAGTAAAAAGTTACAGCTCATGCTCAATGGTAAATGTTTCATGCAGTCAGGCTGAAAAATATGGACAAATTAGAAGGTGTCTTAGAAGAAATAGATTGCGATGATGAATCTTGTGAACAGGTTTGTAGGAGTTCCTCTCTACTATTGGATTTCCATCTTTAATGCATTGTATATTTTGTTCAACATAAAATAAGAAGTTGATCAATAGCAAGTATATTAATTTAATAAAATAAAAAGTTAATAATAATAAGAATGATTTAAACATAGTACCCCTCTGATTGATTGAAAATGGACAGACTTTCTTTATCGCAAAAGCGTGTTGATAACATGTTGTGACATGTTTTACTGAAAAGAGAGACATTGTAGTGGAGAGAGATGGAGAAGGGCTAGAGGACTTCTATGAGTGTTATTCATCATGCCTTGTACTTTTATTTATAGTAAACTGAATACGATTAATTGCCTTGTAAATAATACAATCATAAAGGGATATAGGATCTTCTTTTGTGTGTTATTCATCATGCATTTTTTTATTTATAGTAAACTGAATACAATTCATTGCTTTGTAAATAATACAATCATAAAGGAATATAGGATCTTCCAGCATCTTAAATACAATTACTAATAATTTACACAATCACACATATGTCATAATTAATATAGTAAATACATATATATCAATACTGAAGTTTCGAAGGGTATACAACTGGGTGCTGAGCTTTATGTACTATTATTTGACGAAAAGGACTGATAATTACTGTTCTTGTTCACACATAGAATTGAAACGAGATTTACGCGTAGTACTTCATGCTTCTATTTTAAATAGATCAATAAAGTTAGTAAACTAAATAATTAGTTGCTATTTGAGAAAAATTTAGCATATGATTCGAACTTGCACTAGAATATATATACATATTTACATGAAATGCTTCATGCTTCTTCAGCTAAACCTCATGGACAAGTATAATTCTTTATACTTATTACTTGAAAAAACAATCTCACTTATTTGGATAATAGTATAATGAGCAAAAGACTGTTTACTACCCTCAAGTTTCATGGTTTTCAACATTTAGTACATCAATTTTTTTTCACCCCAGAGTCATACCTAAAGTGTAAATTTTGGGACAGTCTCATACATCCGTTAGTCAAACTGTTAACTTTGCTGTTAAATGATGATGTGGCACCCACGTGGACAATGACTGGGTGCCACGTGTCATTAAAAATTTTAAAAATAATTAAACTATTAAAATAATTAATAAAAAAAAAAAACCCCAGATCCCCATTGTCTTCCCCACCCCGACCCCCCCATCCCTTCTCCCTCTACACATCCATCCTTCCCCTCCCCCTTCTCCCCAGATTCCCTTTCATTTTTTCTCCCGTTCCCTCTGCATAGGCCTAGTCCCGTCCACTCCCTCTGCACATCCAAGAACTCAGCCGTCCACTCCGTCGAGGTCCAGGAACCCGACAAGTCCCTTGTCCTCGGATGGAAGCACGGCGACCCTCTCTTCCACAGAAATCTCGCTTAGATGCAGAGATTCAAGAACAACAACCAACCAACCAAATCTCAATCAAACAACCAATCAGTCAATCAATCAATCCAAATCCAAAAATTCAAATTGTAGAGAGAGAAAAAGAGAGGGGGCGTACAAAGATGGCTCTGGGGGTGGCGTAGGGAGGGCGGAGCTCCAGTGAGGAAATCAGAGAGAGAGGACGGGAAGGAGGGAGGGTGGTTGGTGTGGGTTGTAGAGGAGAGAAGAGAGGGAGGGAGAGTGGGTGGTTGCAGAGGAGAGAAGAGAGGGTGGGGGTTGCAGCAAGTGCCAAAGGGAGGAGTGGATGGAGAAAGGGTGGCTCGGGTAGGCAAGGGGTGGTGATGGGGTGCTCGGATGGAGAAGATGAAGGGGGTGGATGGGATGAAGGGGCGGAGGGGATGGGGGAAGGATGGATGTGCAGATGGAGAAGGGAGGGGGGGTCGGGGTGGGGAAGACAAAGGGATCTAGGGATTTTTTTTTTAACTTTTAATTAATTAATTATTTTAATAGTTTATTATATTTTTAAATTTTTTAATGACACGTGACACCCAGTCATTGTCCACGTGGGTGCCACATCATCATTTAACAGCAAAGTTAACAGTTTGACTAACGGATGTATGAGACTGTCCCAAAATTTACACTTTAGGTATGACTCTGGGATGAAAAAAAATTGATGTACTAAATATTGAAAACCATGAAACTTGAGGGTAGTAAACAGTCTTTTGCCCTAGTATAATACTTGTTCGGTACACATTTTGATTCTTCTTGGTTACAGTGGCGGGGGTTGAAAATAGCAACTTTGTTTAGTTTATTAATTTAATTATTCATACATACATTATATATAGTATTATGGTGCATGCGGCGCAAACTAGAATGGCTGAATTAACCATGCATGCATGTTCATGAACATTTCTCAGCAATATTTTGGAGATGGGAGAACAACTCCATGGGTTTAGAGAACATGACCATGTGATCAGAACCGCTTATCACTTTCACTTCTTTTGGCGGATTGTTTTAATCATGTAATTTTGCACATCCGACACTATTGTATGGTCTTGGTCGGACACGATGAATACTCTAGGAACTGATTCGTATTTCTCTGTCGTGAGCTTTATTACATCATAATCGTATAGAGGAGTAAATCTCACCAACGATAATCCTAGAGTTAAATCCTGCATATTATATCATTCATCAACCAATATGCTAAGAGAACACGAATTCAGTTCCTATCTATTGCAACAGACACACTTTAAGACTTACTTGTGGTGGTGAGAGCTGGTACAAGTTGGTTGCCAAGAACTTAGGCCTAAACATAGCGGAGGTTGCGGGGTTGTTGGTCCCGTTATCATATCTGACAATAAAGTCCAATCCTTTGGTAACCTATACATTTTTGAAGAAAATTATTTGTTAGTTAATTTCCCTTTTATTTCTCATTTAGTAGGATTCAGAAAACAATGAACAAGAGATCAGATACACACACATATAGTCTCATTTCACTGAGAGATATCCAAATAAGTTTATTTAAAGAATCTCTTGCAAGGTTCAATTTCCAATATATTTCAACAATCTAACTGTTTATCTTTAACGTATTGCCTCAAAGATCATTCTACATCACCCAATCTAAAACTAGATATACAAACTTTGAATTAAATGGTTGCCATTTCATTGGTTTTTTAGGAATTGTATTCATCTACTTTCTTCACTATATGTAAATTGATTGATGCCTTAATGGTTTTTTATTTGTGTAATTTTTTGCTAATATGATGTATGCATGATGAACTACAATATAGATGACTTGGATCATAGAAAAAAGTTACAAAATGCACACAAGGTGTCTTCTAAATAAGTTTAATTATGGAACCTTCAATAAAGAGGGACATAGTTATGCCATGCTTATTCATCACATTTTTTATTCACAAGATACGATGAATAAGGTACGGTATATGGTCAATTACAATTCATAGTAGTGAAGCACTGTAAAGGACATATTGCACAACTGAATCTGTGTGTGTAAAATTCATTACCTCTGCACTTACCTCTCCTTGAAAATAGATATTATGGCTCCACCCAAGCTGTGAGCTACAAGGATTACCTTCTCCTCTGGTGTTAGTGACACCATGAACTCCGTCAAAGGTTTGACGTATTCCGATAACGAAGGGAGTTGCTGTACCTGGATCGGTTTGATCCCTGATACTCCCAAGTCTAGAGCTGTGACATTGTGACCCGAGTCCTTCAGGAGAGTCGCCACCTTATACCAACTCCATGCTCCATGACAGGCTCCATGTATCAACACAAAATGTTAATCCCAGTTGGAATTTGGGGTTCGTTGTGAAAGTTGGGTTGGGGTTGGGATGGGGATGGGGATGAGGTACAATGTTTTGCTAAGCAAATAAATAAAAGAAAAACAACAAAACGCTTCTGTATCATGTTTCCCATTCTATATCATTTACTCTCTATTTCCTTTGGTTTGCATCTCTCGTCTTGCTTTTATATATAGGAATCGATCATAAAACTATAATTGGCTCAAAAGTAATTATTAAAGTGAAAAGTATAATCCCAACTTTAATTTGAAAGTTTAGTTTCCTAACTTGTAGCTACATATTTAGTAAACAACCTAACTGTAACACTCGTCATTTATGAAATGCTGCAATGCAATGCACTGCAATTCATTGTTAGAAAACATTTCACGTTGAAGAAAGTACATATAAGCCGCGTTCCAACTGGAAAATCAATATAATTATGATCCATTAATTTATTTTTCTTTTTGAGTAATGTATGGATGTGAGAGCATATGGTTTGGCAAGTTTTCGTAATTCGCCTATAGTGCTAGATGGTTCGGCCAGTTTTTGTATTGGACAATACTTGAGTCCTCAATGGGGAGTACTCAATTTACTATCTTACATAGCCCACTAGAATTTTATATGTCAAATGAATTTCACCCAAAACTCTATTTTCATAACCAAACACCATCCATCTTCTTCCCCCCTTCTTGCCTATTTGCCTAAACCCTAAAAACCGTATTCCTGATCATTTTTTAATAACATGATTTGTATTTGGTGACGTCATTAGGGTTTGATTATGGGTGTGCGTTTACTAATAAACCTTGTTTTTATTGCTAGTCGTATCTTTTACTTAATGATAATTATGCAATAGGATTATAGTGACATTTCATATTTAAAATTTAAGTTGGGTGTAGAAAGAGGTTATATAAGTTTGTTGATGCACAAAATCAGTGGGGACTTTGGTACAACATAAAGTGTTAAGTTTGAGACATTCGCTAGATTGCTCTGGTCACTAGTGCGAATAAGTATGCAAATGGATAGAGACAGGGAAGCAAACACAAGATGTACGTGGATCACCCAAATTGGCTACGTCCACGGAGTAGAGGAGTTCTCATTAATTGTGAAGGGTTTACACAAGTACATAGGTTTAAGCTCTCCTTTAGCGAGTACTAGTGAATGATTTAGTACAAATGACATTAGGAAATATTGTGAGAGAATGATCTCTATTTATAGAAGAGAGTTTCTAGTTTCATTCTGACATTGACACGTGTCGTGTTGTGATTGGCTTCTGATATTGACATGTGTCGCGCTGTGATTAACTTCTGATGTCGACACGTGTCGCACTGTGATTGGCCTCTTGGTTTGAGTGAAACTCTTCTGGGTCCTTGACAGTATAATGTTAACCGGTGCTCAGTAGTTTCGGGATTGGTCAAGTATGGTACAAACAGTGCTCCCCTAAGTTCCCGAGTGAGGGAAGCTTCTCGATTGGGGACTTGCAAGATTCAAGCCATTGAGTAATCACGAAACTTCTAAGTACCGAAGTGTGGTATCGTTTTTACTTGCCTTATTTGTCTCATAGGTAGATGTGGCATCTTCTCTTGAAGTACTTTTCTTCCATCCATAAATGGTATCTCTAACCGGTGGAGATACACAAGGTAATGTATCAATTTCACTTGAAGCTTACTTGTAGTTTCGGGCTTGGTCAAGCGCGATACAAACCTATAGTGGGAGTCCCCCAAGTCTCTGAGTGAAAAGGTCTGCCGAATGAGGTAACAGACAAGGTAAGCAATCAGACTTCCAAGCAAGTAACCTGAATCAGAGATTCGACTTCGGCTTCCGGTTGATTGTTCTCATTCTCCTTGTGTCGTAAACAGCAACAAGGATAAGGAGAAGCAAATGGAGAAGAGATGATATGATACTTTTTCTTTTGAAGAAGTAACTTTCCACAGGCTTATTCTTGAACTGGGTTAGAGGTTTTCTGGTTTCCTCCAGAGTATAAGGTCGACTCCAGAATTTGAGGGTTAAAACAAGTCTCTCAAATCTAGAGTACGTTCGACCCTAATGATATGGGATACTTTTGTTGTCGACAAAGTAATGGGTGTGGTATGGCAAAGCTTTGCTCTTTGGCGATGGTGTTAGCGAAAAGTTGTTGAAGCTTCTCGAGTTCTTCGGATAAGGCAGCGATGCTGGGTTTGGATTTGATTTAGAATCCTCTGTCTGGGTTGTATGGTTCTGCAGGAAGGGTATCATGCTGTAGTGATCTATTCCAGCTCATCATTGATCCTTCTACTTTAATCTTTTACAGCTTTTGTCCCCAATGCAGGAGTGGAATGCAACATTTGCATTTAAATGGTCTTTCAGACCACTACTTCTCAGCGACTCATCCATGTGTAGCAGCTTCAGTGTAAAGCCTCAATATCATATCAACTGTTCTGAGGTATTTGCCGAAGGATTTCGTGACCTTGACAACAGTTGAGGATAAGTACTTGAAAGCAATGTTAGGCAAACAACCATACAAAGATTTCGGGCAATCAGTTCCAGATCGGAAGTTTGATTTCAGGTTCTGACTAATTGCGTTTTTTCTCCTTGTCCTGCAGGTAAAAGCAAGGGCAAAGGAAAAGACCGGGAAAAAGCATGATATGGGATACTTTTGCTTTTAACCATGATGATATGAGATATTCTTGCTCTGGTGTGGCTTGTTTGCATAGGTATTATCGGGGGGGGGGGGGAAAGAAGCTGAATATTTTGAGAGACTCTGCTGGGAATGCCCTCTCGGATGTGAATAAAAGTTGAGCATTTTTTTTATTTGCAGGTATGCCTAGCTGTGGAGGATGGAGGTCGACATATATAGGAATTATTTCAACAACGGGTAGTAACGTTGTTCCTTTACCCTTCTCAATCATAGCAATGTAGTGGGAGCTGCAACATTCACGTGTTTTAACTTTGTCAGAGCACTTTGAAAAAGTGGTCTGTGGTATCTGGAAAGCTGATGTTGCGTGTGAAGATTGCATACAAGCTTTATCCAAGGAAATCTGGCTCTTAAAGTTCGGAAAGCGATGCCTCTTCGGTTTTCGAACAAGCAATCCTATTGAGGATCTGGATCTCGAGATTCGGAGAGCATTGCCTCTTCGATTGTTGAGAAAGCAATCCTGGTGGGAGTCTGGCTTTCGAGATTCAGAGAGCAGTGCCTCTTCGATTTTTGAGAAAGCGATCCTGGTAGGAGTCTGGCTCTCGAGATTCGAAGAGCGATGCCTCTTCGATTTTTGAGCAAGTAATCCTGTTGGGAGTGTTTTCTCAATGTGAGTAAAGGTTGGGCTTTTTTGCCAATTCTACCTTGCCACGGAGCATAGAGGCTGACACACATAGGGACTTTCCAGTTACCAAACAGTGGTGTTGTTCCTTTACCTTTGTGGGTAATGGTAAGGTAGCTGGACCTTCAAAATTTATGTGTGTAAACTTTGTCAGAGATCTTTGGCAAAGTTATCTGTGGTACTCGAGGAGCTAATGTTGCGTATAGGGATTGTCGACATATTTTACTCAGGAAAATCTGCTTCTCGAAATCCGAAGGGTGATGCCTCTTCGATTTTTGAACAAACGGCCATGCTGCCCTTTCTTTTATAGGAGCACCAATTGTGTGAAAAAAGTACGTTCAGAGAGTTATTACTTGCAGGAATTTTTCCCTTGTTTTTATACTTCAGAGATTTATTAGACCTCATTTCTCCTTCATCATTTCTGAAAATGTTTGGCCCATCCTACCGTCGTTTTGACTTGAACTTTGGTGAAGAGGCAGCCATGTCTTCTTAAGACAACTTATGGCGCCCATCCTTCTTATCCCCTACTGGTCCTCTTATCGTTGGGAACTCTGTGATGAAGAATGATATGACCGCTGCGGTGGTGGCCAGGAACCTTCTCACTCCCAAAGATAACAGACTACTTTCCAAACGGTCTGATGAGTTGGCTGTTAAGGATTCTCTGGCTCTCAGTGTTCAGTGTGCAGGTTCTGTGTCTAATATGGCCCAACGCCTATTTGCTCGAACCCGCCAAGTTGAATCATTGGCGGCTGAAGTGATAAGTCTCAAACAGGAGATCAGAGGGCTCAAGCATGAGAATAAACAGTTGCACAGGCTCGCACATGACTATGCTACAAACATGAAGAGGAAGCTTGACCAGCTGCAGGAATCTGATGGTCAGATTTTACTTGATCATCAGAGGTTTGTGGGTTTGTTCCAAAGGCATTTATTGCCTTCGTCTTCTGGGGCTGTACCGCGTAATGAAGCTCCAAATGATCAACCTTCGGTGCCTCCTCCTTCTGGGGTTCTGCCTAGTACTGAGGCTCCGAATGATCACCCTCTGGTGCCTACTCTTTCTGGGGCTCTGCCGACTGCTGAGACTTCTCCTGAGCAACCTTTGTGAAGGCTCCCTCTTGTTTGTTTATTTTGATTCATGTATATGTACATATTTGTAACTTATCGGAGATATCAATAAATAATCTTTGCTTCATTTCAATGTATTGTGTTAAATACACCAAGGCCTTCTTCACTAAGTTCTTTGAATTTTTTCTTTTGTTGAAGCTTGTATGTTGAAGCTTTGTGAATGAAGCATGTATGTTGAGGTAGTGCTCCTTTAATTTCCCGAGTGAAGAAAACTTCTCGGTTGGAGACTTGAAAAATCCAAATCACTGAGTGGTCGTGAGACTTCCGAGTATTAAGGTGCAGTAGCATATAGTAGGAGTCCCCCAACTCTCCGATCGAGGGAGTTGACGAATGAGGCATTTCCTTTCTAAGTGGTAGCCCAAAAATCCTCTTTCATATATATTTGTTATAAAAGTTGTTAGGCCTAAAGAAGATGAGGCCTAGGCAATTTTTTTTCCTAATTTTTTTTAATTTCTTTTTTAGTATTTTTTTTTCAAATTTTCGAATTTTTGAATTTTTGAATATATATATATGTATATATATTTTAAGCTTTGTAGGTGAAGCTTTGGTGTTGAAGCTTTGTAGGTGAAGCTTTGAGGTTGAAGCTTTGTTGGGTACCATGAATTGATTTTGCTTCACACTATCTTGATCAAGATAGTGTGAAGCTTTTGTGGTGGGTGAAGCTTTTGTGGTGGGTGAAGCTTTTGTGGTGGGTGAAGCTTTTGTGGATGAAGCTTTTGTTGGTGAAGCTTTTATGGGTGAAGCTTTTGTAGGTAAAGCTTTT